CCCATCCCGCAGCCTCGATGCCTTCCCGGGGAACGGCGTGAGCCTGAGGGGAAGGGTCCCCCCTGGCTCGGCGGGTAAAGCCCCTGCACCCTGAGGGGCCCTCTCCTCGGGCTGGCTGTGCCCCAGCCTGAGAAATCCCTTACTTCTAGTCTGGAACAGGGGGTTTTGCTTTGTTTTTGCTTTTGTTGTTGTTGTTTTTCCTTTCGGCAACGTTTTTTGGCTTCAGAGTGGTTATTTATCTGCACGCTTGCTCAAAGACAGTTGCTTCTCAAAGTCTTTGCCTTGAGGTTCTCTTTGTATTTAAACAGGAGCGTTGTTGCAGTGTTCTGTGAGTCAGCTGTAGCACTTGGTACCAATACTTCCTGCACCTTAGCAAATCTTCTCTGCCTTGTTTGTGCAAATCCGACAACAAAAAATGTGTGGGCTTCTGCAGCTGTTGGTGTCGCTTTGCCTGATTCTTAGTCTTTTGCTTTTGGTTTGTTAACTTACCTGTCTTGTCTTTGTGGCATTGTAAGATGACGAAATATTTGTATGGTGGATACTGTAACAGAAAATTGTTGCTGGATTAGGCGTAAATGAAGATAAAGAGGGGGGTTTATGTGCCTTTAAGATACGCTGCGCTCAGTTCAACCATTAAAGATCCCGTAATACAGGATCAGGAACAAGGAGGGAGGGACTGGCCTGTACCTTCTTGCTCAAAATACCTATTCTGTGTATTTGTATGAAGTTGGCTTCATTTTCTGTGGGTCTTACGTGTACCATAAAACACATTCAAGCTCTTCTTTAAGCCCCAGAGCAGACAGAATAGTTTTCAACTGGGGGCTGAGTTTGCAGTGCATGCTGGGCACCATGTGCAGAAACAGAGGTTAAGCTCTTTGGAACATAATCCCTCACTTGTATGCATTTGAAAATTTGACTTTGACCTATGTGCATGATCTCTCCTGAATCTGTGATTTGTCCTGGGATTGCCTATATATGAAAGCTCCTGATAAAAGAATAACGTCATTTATTTATCTGGTGTTGGGAGAAACTTGTGTTGTGGAATGAGAGACCTTCAGAAATGACCTGTTTGTTAATGATTTCCTGGTGCTTGTTGCAGGAGCAGGATGTATACTCTGCTGTCTGGACTCTATAAATACATGTTCCAGAGGGATGAGTACTGCATCTTGATCCTTGGTTTGGACAATGCTGGTAAAACCGTAAGTGCTGTTGCTTACCAATTGCGTGGAGGGCACACGCAATTCTAAACATCCTCAAAAGATAAAGCTTCCAACAGACAGGTCAATCTTTCCTCAGCTGTATTGTGAGTTATTTTAGTGATGTCACACCAAAGAATCATTTTTTCCCTCTTACTTAAATTTAGCATAAGCCTTCAGGGATGTAGCTGAGGCTTTGGTAATCCCATAATCACCTGTGATCCCTTCTTTCCTGGCTAAAATAGGGAACAAGATGAGTGGTTTGTTCCAAGGTTAGGTAGGGCAGTATCTGTTGGAGCCGGATTCTGCAGAAATGAAAAGGCAGGTTTGGGTTAGGATTACCCCAGCCAGTAAAATATTTGAGAGTAATTACTTTTTCTTGTTCCTTTTCAGACCTTCCTTGAACAAACTAAAACTCGATTTAACAAGAACTACAAAGGGATGAGTTTGTCCAAAATCACAACCACTGTAGGCTTAAACAGTAAGTAAATCTGTTTGGAATTTTCTCAGCTTTCCTGCACAATTAGACAACAGCTGGTTCTTGTTTGAAATATTTAAGAATTGACAAGGGCAAAATAGTTCCTGGAAGTGGGGATCGGATCTCCCAACTCCCCATGTATTTTTGTAAGAGAATAAAATAGGCTTGCTTAGCTTAGGAGGAAAAAACCTCCAAAGTCTTAAAAACTCAAGTATCCTATTTCAGTGCTATGCTCAGAGGTTAAGCTAAATTCCACTGGAGTTCATTCATTGGCCTGATTCAGATATTATTTGCGCTGGTATGACTCTGTCTGATACTAGTGGTCAGTCTTTGCAAAGGTATTGTTCTGTTGCTGAAAGTGGTCACTGTATGTGATTTTTTTTCCTCTGGAAGACTGTTCTACCGCATATTTCTTAGGGGGGTGTGCAGGTGTTTGTGCTTTAGAGAACACCTTTAATTTTCATTGGATTGTTTTTTCTTCTTTGCCTCTAGTTGGTACTATTGATGTTGGCAAAACTCGGCTGATGTTCTGGGATCTTGGCGGACAGGAGGAGCTACAGTCTCTTTGGGACAAGGTTGGAGATGTATTTCTTTTCTTTTAGAAATGTTTTTGTCTCTTTTAGAATTGAAGCAGTATGACCATTGAGTAATCATACAGGCTTATTGGTAACCCTGGTACTTAGCATCTGTATACTATGGAAACAGCTGGCTCTAACTGGTTGATCTCTTGCATGTGTATCAAAATTTTACCAAATTAAAAAAAAAATCAGGAAGAGGAATAAATGGTCCTAGTGGATGGATACACTAATATCTGTTATCCTTTCAGTATTACGCTGAATCTCATGGAGTGATCTATGTTATTGACTCCACTGATGAAGAGAGGCTCTCAGAATCGAAAAGAGCTTTTGGTGAGTACATTGTATTTTACCTCTACTGTGATTTCATGATGTATTGTGGCACAGTTCTCTCATTACTATAATGTCTGTTCCTGTGCCCTGGAAGTAAGTTGGCATGAAAGGTTGCATCAAATCAAACTACAGTGCAAGGAGGAGCCTCTTTCTTTATCCCTATGTCCAGACAGTCTGTCAGGCATTTGCACAACTTTATCTTCCAGAACTAGCTAAACCTCTGGTTTTGTTTCTGTACTTTATAGAGAAGATGATTACCAGTGAAGCTCTGGAAGGAGTTCCCATTCTGGTGTTAGCTAACAAGCAGGATGTAGAGGTAAGATTATTGCAGATTTACTTCGTAAGTGAGCAAATTAGCCTTGGAAAAGTGAGCTCTGCATTCATGTTAAATGTATTTCACGTTCCTGCAATGATCCTCTCACTGCTGGAATTAATTGCTTTGAATTTAGTTTTATTTTTTCCCTTTCTCCTCCAACCCTTTTCCAGTGGCATGAGTGAGTTTACTGCAGGCATGTCCATCTCAGCTATTCTGAACCTTTTATGTGAATGGAACAGGCTACGTGGCTATGGTGGGTCTTTCTTGTACTGTGACTTGGTGTCTTGATACTGTTGTTTCCTGTTTATTCAGAACAAAAAAATGTTTAGTGCACATTGTTTATGCTGCTCTACTATTACCAGGGAACGGCACAAAAAATGTATGTGGGTGGTGAGCCCCTGGGGCAGGTTGCCCCGAGAAGTTGTGGCTGCCTCATCCCTGGAGGTGTTCAAGGCCAGGTTGGATGGGGCTTGGAGCAACCTGGGCTGGTGGGAGGTGTCCCTGCCCAGGGCAGGGGGTGGAACGATATCATCTTTAAGGTTGCTTCCAACTCAAACCATTCCATGATTCTATAGTATCTAGAACTCCAAAACTCTTGTTTTATATTTGACAAGTTAGTGGGCGCTACAATACGACTGTTCAGGTGATGCATCCAGGGCAGTTCTCATCTCCGCCAGCACGGAAAAAAGGGAAGAGTGCCTAAAGTGGTCATGGTATTTTCTGTGTTTTCCTCTTTTCCACCGATTGTTCCTGGATTTCCAGTACTGCAGTTCGAGTGATTAATCTCTAGATGGAGCCAGAGACTTTCAGTAGAATTTGGTGTACCAGCCCTGGCAGCCGTGGGCAGTGTCTGTTACAAAGTATGCTAACACTTCCCAGCTTCTTCCCCTGGACTTTACACCTATCTCAGTGTGTGTACGTGTGAGAAATACTTGAGACTTACATAGAAAATACTTTGGCTTTAAAGGAGGATTCGGTTACACTTCACATGTACAACACAACAGATTTTTTTGGGGCGATCATAAGATTATGTAGTCACCGAAATAAAAGAAATATAGTTCCACTTTAAAGACAGCGTGAGATTAAGAGACAGAACTCCTGATTTTTGGTCCTGACTTTGCTGTCAGTGCTGGTATGTGCGGAAACTGACTTGTCTTTTCTGTGTGGAAACCAGAATATTAACTCTCATATTTCCATGCAACACTACAGCTTTACAGCAGGGAGCAGTCTGCACTCTTGCCTTTAGCTGTTGAGAATTAAATTATATGCAGTGACCTGGAAAGCTGTTCCATTTTTCCTGATGGCTGTACATACATATTTTGTTATGGCCATACTGCAAAAGCCAGCTGTTGTGGCACCCTAGCCAGACTAAAGAAAAATGATTGAACAAGTGGACTTCTTTATTCGACTGGAAAGAGGTATTTAGAACAGAGTCTCAAGATAAAAGCTTGCCCCTTCTGGAGGGTCCAAGACCAGCCCGCAGAGTCAGTGCCGTGTGCTGTATGCAGTCGTAGAACTGTGACAAGAGGTTAGCAAAACTGTACCAACTGGAGGTATACCTGTTTTTAAGAAACACCTAAATTGTATTTTCTGAGATCTATTCCTAGAGTATGATCTTGGATATGGGCATAGAGCAGAGAGACATCAGTGCTATTAATAAAACATTAAAGAGACTATAGCTTATTGTTCAGTAATTATTCAGGCTCTCTTAAGCAAGGTTTAGAAAACTGGAAGGCCTGTTTCTCTTCCACTGATCTAGCAGAATTGAAGATGTCTGGAAGAAAATCAAACGTTACAGGGCTGTCATTGATAGAAACTTTTTCTGCTGTGGATCGCCAGACATAGAATTGTAGTGGGGTATTCTCACCAGCATCCCTCTGTTGTTAACATGGATCATGATACAGGAAGATAAGTGGTATCTTAACCTTTTTGGTATTTGCAGATGAAAGATAATTCATGATGATTACGTATTTAAAGGCCAGCAGAAGACTTGTGGTAAAATATATCAGAAGTAGTACGTCTGACATAGATTTATTTTTTTTTTAAAGTTTACATTCCTCACAGTAAGCTAATAGAAGTTCTGACTCAATGCTTGAAATTACATACAGCATAAGATTTTTTTTGGCCCTGATGCTAAATTCCTTGTAGAAAAGAATTCCCCTGTTAATGGGCACCACTACGCTAGGGTAGATTGCATCCACTCAGAACTGCCAAGCATGAGCAGTGTTTGGCCATATCAGGAAGTGAAATACAGCCATAGACTGCAAAATATCAATTCTAATGTGAGGACAATACTGTATATGATTTCATTATTTTTTTTTTTTTTTGTACAGGAGAATGCTCTGTGTTTAGCAGGGCTTTCAAAACTGGATTGCTTTGTAATTAAAAGACTGGGTCAGGTGTGTGTTGTGGGAGGGAGTTTGTTTTATTTTGTTTTTTAAAGGAACTATTGCTCTGTAGGGGAATTAAATGTCTAATATATAACAATTCATGGGGACTCCCTTTCAAGTCAGAATGCCACTTTTGAAAATAGTAGGCAGTTTTGCTGTTTACTGCAGAAAAAGCTGCAAAATAAGAATTGATATTTGTTGTTTTGATGTGATTACAGCTCTTCAAAGGTTTATAAAAAGCTATATATTTTTGAGCTATACAGTGAACTGTTCAAACTTGAGGATAGAATGGCTCGTCTTGCAACCCTATTAAAAATACTGGAAAAACTGAGCTGAAAAAATAGCCTATGAAAATAATCAGGTGTTGTATGACATCTTTGGGAGGAAGTTTTGCCTTTCTAATCTTAAGGTAGATTTTGGAAACTTATTTTGAAATCTTCAGAATGTTGGAAAGCCTCCTCATGTCTTTGGAAAATGAGAGGAGTCATGGTGAGTAGCAGCATATATTTGAAGACTCATAGTGTTATCTGTTTTCCACACAGCTGTTAGAAAATATGCCTTCTGCATGATGACCATTCTAGTTTCCAACTTAAGAACTACCACAGCTTCCCTGTAAAATTAGTTTTAATTTAAATAAGCTTGTTTTAATTTAAAATAAACTTGTAAAAAAGATAGCACAGAACATAGGTTGGTTAAACTTATTAATAAATAGTTTTACTTGGGCTATCCACCTTTCTGTTCTTTCTATTTTAGTTCCATTCTGCTGATTGATTACTCTTGAGATGGCTGAAGAGTCTGTACTTCAGGTTTTTATTCTCATATGAGACCAAGCAGCAGCATTGTCTTTCCTGCAGTGGATTTGTCAAATGGATAAAGACTCCACAATCCAACCTTTCTTGCCTAAAACAGCCACTAATGTTTTTCTGCAGGTGACTCCAGAAATGGAGTCTTGCTTGCTTCATATATATCTAGGTGTACCATTCCTGAGTCTTAATTTGGGTAATGCTGTTCTGAAACCTTCATAAAAGGAATTTGGTTATGGAGGCAGGTCAGTCCTGGCTAGACTATGCCTTGAAGACCCTTCAAGGTCCCATGAAACGATGGTTGTTTTGGGGAAGTTGAGATAGAAATATGATTTGTCACGTTGTGGGAGTTTCCTCCGAAACGTATGGTAGATAACATCACTCCAGAAAGGTCATCTGTGGATTTTATTATTGTAATTGTACACTGTTTATGTGATCACAAATCCAGCTTCCCTAGTTTTCTCTTGGTTTATACAGTTTCAGTTGAGAAACAAAACACATCTGTAAACAACTATTTTGTAATGTAGATAGGGAGGTGGAAAAGAGGGGAACTTAGAAGCCGCAGCTGACATTTTCTGCCAAGCATGAGGAGCTCAAATTCTCCTAGTTGAAGTGATGCGTAATCTGCCTCATCCTCTGCTGTAAGACAAGATTTCCAGTTCATGACTTCCCCTTGAACACTAAAACAAGGTTTCTCTGAATTGATAGTTCAGTGGTGCTGTCCCTTCCGCTGTGTTACAGTGCTTCATCCCAAGGGGATGAAGATATTCCTCAAAACAAGTGTAGTGTTGTGATGCAGTGACGTCCTACTATAAACAAGGTAGATGGTGCAAAGTCTTCTCGGAAGCAAAACTCTTTCTGCTGCAGATTTCTATGGAGAGCAATGGCTGGACAGCTTTGTGGAGGTTAGGGCAGGCCATGATTATACCAGAGGGTGAGAAGGGGAAGTGATTATAATGGATTAAGCTGGGGGGAAAAATGGCTACAGCAGTTGTAGGCTGCACTGGGAAATCTGGACTTGTCAAAGGCCTCAAAGACGGGCAAGGTGAAGGAAATGGATTCTGTGTGCCTCTGGACATGTGCAGGTGTGCTGGTCTGCTGGTGGGTTTTGCGATGTCTATTGCCTGATTGCTTTGCACAGGCTTCTGCAAGTAGAAATCAAGGACAGCATGACTATGCTCTGCACTGTTATTTCCTACCTTGAATGCTTTTGGATTTATTTTAAAAAGATTTTAAAATATATCATAATTCAGAAAAGGAGAATTTGTTATACTATGATATTAAACTGTGATAAGCTTAAAGTATATTTCAAGAAACTTCCACTCAGTTTCAGCTGCCTTGGGATTTAACCTTCCTGCTGCCAAGTCTTATTTACTGAAGAAAAGTAATGACATGAAAAATAGCTCAAATAACTGTCATGCGGCTCTTCACCCTTCCCAGTTGTTGGGTGATTGACTTGTCTAGAGCTTTGGCTTAAATCAAGAGGCAGCTGCACCTGCTTTTCTTATTTGGCAGTGAACATCATACCAAAACTGAAGTAGCACCTTTCACAAACTTATAGAGATGATTGTTCGGTAGTAATCTCTTGCCGATCTCCCAGACCTACTGATATGAATTCCAACTCCCAAGTCCAGTCTGACTCCCTCTAAAGTTAGTGTTTGATTTTTTTAAAAATTGAACTATGTATCCTGTGGATGACAGCTCATCTTTATGAATTGCAGGCTTTTCATTTGCAGAAATCCTGAAGTAAGTTCTAAGGGCTTTGTTGCAATGAAGTGCATGGATGAACAAGGAGCTTCTGGACAAACTCAAACTCAAAAAGGAAGCCTACCGAGGGTGGAAGTAAGGACAGGTAGCCTGGGAGGAATACAGAGAAATTGTCTGAGCAGCCAGGGATCAGGTTAGGAAAGCTGAAGCCCTGATAGAATTAAATCTGGCCAGGGATGTCAAGGGCAACGAGAAAAACTTCTGTAGGTATGTTGGTGGTAAAAGGAAGACGGGAAAATGTGGGCCCTCTCTGGAAGGAAAGGGGAGCCCTGGTCACCCAGGATAAGGAGAAGGCTGAGGTGCTCAATGACTTTTTTTGCCTTGATCTTCACTAGCAAGTGCTCTAGCCGTACTGCCCAAGTCGCAGAAGACAAAAGCAGGGACTGAGAGAATGAGGAACCGCCTACAGTAGGAGAAGGCCAGGTTTGAGACCATCTAAGGAACCTGAAGATGCACAAGTCCATGAGACCTGATGAGATGCATCTGTGGGTCCCGAGGCCAGTCATTCTCACCTCTGTGCCCAGCAAGATCATGGAGCAGATCCTCCTGGAAGCTATGCTGAGGCACATGGAAAATAAGGAGGTGATGGGTGACAGCCAGCATGGCTTCACTAAAGGCAAATCATGCCTGACAAATTTGGTGGCCTTCTGCTACGGTGTTACAGCATTGGTATATAAAGGAAGAGCAACTGACATCATCTACCTGGACTTGTGCAAGGCATTTGACATTGTCCCATATGATATCCTTGTCTCTAAACTGGTGATGGATGGACCACTTGGTGGATAAGGAATTGGCTGGATGACCACACTCAAAGAGTTGCAGCGAACAGCAAAATGTCCAAGTGGCAACCAGTGATGAGTAGCGTTCCTCAGGGATCGGTACTGGGACCGATGCTGTTTGACATCTTTGTTGGCAACACGGACAGTGAGTTGAGTGCACCATCAGCAAGTTTGCTAACAACACCAAGCTGCAGTCAACACGCTGGAGGGAAGGGATGCCATCCAGAAGGACGTTGACAGGCTTGGGGGGTGGGCCTGTGTGAACTTCATGAAGTTCAGAAAGGCCAAGTGCAAGGTCCTGCACATGGGCCAGGGCAATCCCATGCACAAAGACAGACTGGGCAGAGAATGGATTGAGAGCAGCCCTGAGGGGATGTTGGTGGATGAGAAGCTCACCATGAGCCAGCAATGTGCGCTGGCAGCCCAGAAACCCAACCGTATCCTGGGCTGCATGTTTCCCTGTGCGGGTGGTGAGCCCCTGGGGCAAGTTGCCCTGAGAAGCTGTGGCTGCCCCATCCCTGGAGGTGTTCAAGGCCAGGTTGGACGGGGCTTGGAGCAACCTGGGCTGGGGGGAGGTGTTCCTGCCCAGGGCAGGGGGGTGGGACTGGGTGATCTTCAAGGTCCCTTCCAACTCTAAGGGTTCTATGATTATAATTAGGTAACATTTCTGGATACAGTTTCCAGCTCATTGATTGAAACTGCAAGTTTGAAATGCAACTTAGGTCATAAGAAAGTACAGTCATCAAAAGTTGCACAACTAATGGATTCTAGGCCCATCACAGTGGAAAATCACAAGTGTGGATTCAAGGGCACTGGATGAATTGGGTGTCATTAAACTCCTCTCGAGCCATTTCTTGAGAACCCTTCTTATTTATTTTTAAGCACTGAAACCTGCTTATTTGTCACATGGTCATCCCTATGGTAACTTCTTTTATTTAATTTCTCCAGAACTGGTATTTTGCAAAATGGATAGCTGGTATCATTAATTTCTATCTTTCTACTAAGTTAAGGCCCAGGCTTGAATACTGAATTCCTGTTTGCAGGTGCTCTGTTCTTTGAAAGCGTACATCCACTTGGACTAATCCTCAAAACTCACAAGGGTCTGATTTGGCATTTGAGTAAACGCTTGTCCAAAGCATGTATTTGATGCAAATGTCTGCAGAGGGAAGAAAAAGCTGGGCTCGCGGACAGCTAAAGTGCTTAAACAGCCTGTCCAGGGTTTCTGAGGAAAAAGTAAGCGCTGAGATGAGAAGAGGATGTAAAGGCTGGTGATTTTTCTTGTACCTGTTGCCTGTGTTCAGGGAGGAAGATGCAAGTCTAGACTTCAGTAGGGCAGGTTTGCTTTTGTTGTGTTTGTAACTCGAAGAATAAAGTTTTTGTGGTAACACTGTGATTTATGGCAGGAAAGTAATCCACTGGTTTATTGGGGGGTGTTTATGCCTTTGTGTATTTAAAAAACGCTTCCCAGCAATCTCCTAGCAACCTTACAGAAGAGCCAGACCTGATGGTGATCAAGAACAAGGTGTTACCAGGCATGAGAAAATGTGCTGCGTTTAGTGCTGCTAGCGTTTTCTCCTGCGTGCAAAATGCAAAAAAAAAAAAAAAAAAAAAAAAAAAAAAAAAAAAAAAAAAAAAAAAAAAAAAAAAAAACCAAACAAAAAAAAACCAAGTCCGGGGCAGCTGTGCCTTTAAATTCAAGGAATGTGCTGAGAACTTGGGAAAAGTCACGTCCAAGCTGTTTTCTGAGAGTGTGCGGGTAGGGAGACATGATCCAGGCAATAGGCAGAGTCGGCTACAGGAACTGGCCTGTCTGGGGTTCTGGCGGGTACACCGTTTCAGAAGGCTTTGTACATAGACAGGCTCCTGTAGTGTTCTGGTAGATGGAACTTGCATGTGATGATGGGGGCAGGTTGGAAGGAGTATCCCGAGGGTATGCAGGTTGTGCTGGTTTCCATGACTGTTTGCTTAGAAGCATACATCTTGAGGATCACGGAGATGTAGCAGTGTGTGTATACTGTCTGCAAATAGTATTCTCTTTGGTGAAAAAATATTTTATTTTATTTTATTTTTTATGTAAAGACGTGAATTTGCTGTATTAACGGGTGAGGGGGTTCAACCTAACAGCGTTGTGCCGTCCTGACTGAAGCAGAACTGTGGATGTGGTAGGATTCATTTTGGAAGAAGGTCACTATCTCTCGAAGCATAGAAAGCAAGCTTTTCTTTTGCTTCCCTTGCAGACTTGTCTGTCAATACCTGACATCAAGACAGCGTTTAGTGACTGCATTAACAAAATTGGGAAGAGAGACTGCCTGACGCAGGCCTGCTCTGCTCTTACTGGGTAAGTATGAGAATGGATGGCGGTGTGGTTAGCTGAACAGCTGCAGGGTGTCACACAAGCAGAGCAGTACTACGGGTTTTAATAACCCCTGAGAGGGAGCTGGGCTTCCTTCCCAGCAGTGACAGATACTTGTTTGTGAACTTTGGACTTGCACCAGGTCAGTAACTTCATCTGTAAATCCCGCCTAAGAAACACAATGGAAATGTACTATTAGTGAGAGCAATGGGACTTGGAGGCATATGGAGCTGTTGATTTTTGTCATTTATTATCCCTTCTCTGTACACACTAATCTTTGCAGTCATTGACTTGCTGCAGCTACTGGCTATTTTGTAAGAAGTCAGTTGAAAATATAGCTGTTTATGACGCTGCCAGAGAAATGAGTGGTGTTCCACTGTTAGCAGCTTAATTATGCTCTTATTTCTTGGCGTGCACATAAGCTTTGTTATGTAGATAATATAACAATCTTCAGGAGTGTTCTTACACTGGGGACGCCTGCGGTTTAAGACTAGAACAGACCAAAACTTGGGAGACTGATTCTTCTTCAGGCCTACACAGCTGCATGCCATGACCTCGACCAACCCACTAGATTCTTGATGCCTTAGAGTCACAATTGCACATTGAGTCTTGCAATACTTTGGTTACACTTTCAGTTCTTTGAGTCAAAAGTGCTATTTGGCATAAGTCAAAAGTATTGTTCCAGATGGCTCGAAATACTCCTATCTGAATTACTGCCTGTACTGAATCCAGAGCTTCGAGATTTCTTCTTTTTTTTTTTAATCTAGCAAGAAAGCTGTATTATTACACAAGCTACTGCAAAGGATAAGAAAAGCTTCTTAAACCATGAGAAAAATCTCTGTTGTCTGTCTGCATTGCTAACAATCAAATGCCATTAAGTAGATGAATGACCACAAGAACAATGGTTAAGCACTGACTGGAAGAGAATTATTAGATAATAATCTTATGAAATGCGACCTTTTCAATTGTTGTGGGTTTTGTCCAAACACTTCTAGTTTTGATCTGTGTGGAATTTCCTTTCAAAATTTCAGTTTGTGTTTGCACATAAAAAAAAAAAAAAAAAAAAGGGGGGGGGGGAAAATTGTCCTGGTTGGGAGCTGTGCAGAGGGGGAGTTGGTGACTTGCTTGGCCATTACAGAAAGTTGGAGCCAGGGTTGGAAGATCTGATACAAGTAGCCCGAGGCTTGTAGCAAAATAACCTCAAAGCAGCTGACTGTCAGGTGGTTTGATAGTTGTTCGTACAAAGTTTCCACAGAGATGATGACTAACTAAATTGGATGTAGACTTTTACACACACTAGAAAAATAAAGGATGGAGTTTACATACTGAGTTTAAAAAAAAAAAATCAGTTCTTTATTGTTTGTGTATATGAGAAACTAATGTAGCAATGCCAGTAAATAACTGCAGGGCAGCCCTTCAAGAGCGAGAACCGTTCACTTGCTCTTGTAAGGGCTCAGTTAGGGACTACATGAGCCAAGTTTTCAGTCTTGGTTGTTTGTTGTGGTTGGTTTTGTTGTGTTTTTTTTTTTTTAACCTTGTCTACTTATCTTATTTCCTTAGCAAAGGAGTGAACGAGGGAATTGAATGGATGGTGAAGTGCGTGGTGAGGAATATTCACCGGCCCCCAAGGAAGAAGGACATCACGTAAGAAATTCCAAGTCAGCCAAGGAATGGACAGTTTTTTCCACACAGTTTTGTGTTCTCTTTAAAGAAGGTGGTCCACTGGATTCCTATTACACCTGATTCTGTCCTAAGTTTGGAGACAAACATTCTTTTTCTGTGTCTAAAAAACTTGACCAAAGGATTCCAACTGGGTGGGGGGGTGGGAATCTCTTACATTAAGTATTAAGTCATTGGCTTGAGAGCCATAGACCAAGTGGCAATCTACACGTTGTTGCAGATGCAAAGGACTTAATTTTCTGCTGTATTAGTTTGTGATTCTTGATTGTTAGTCTAACAGACTAGAGGCCAGTGACATGAAGGAACTCCTGAAGGAACTGTGTGGGTGAATATAAAAGGGGAGGGAGACCCTGGGGAATGGCTGTCCCTTCTAACTGAGGAGATACCTTGCTGCTCCAGCCCCGTGGTTACTATAGGTGGTGTTACTGGCCCTGTTATGCTGCTGTTTGTATAATGGGGAGAGACAGTGTTGATTACAACTCAGTTTTCAGTCGGCATGTTGACTCATAACTTCTGCCTGTGGTAAATGCAGATATGGAAGCCAGCAACTGCACAATGGTACACTTTTTAAAATGGATATTCTTCATAGGACGTGAACTCCAGAAGTACTGCCTTGCTTTGACTGCCAATCTCTCTGTTGTGCATTTTTTTTAATTGTAAGAATAATTGGTATCTTCTGTAACTGGAATGAATAGAGGCCCTCGCTGTGATCTTTCTAGGCCGAAAGCTGAACCTCTAGGCAGGGAGAAATCAGTATGCAATAAAGCTTCCTACTTCTTTGAACTTCTCTTGCTGAAACAACTGATATTTGGAACTAGTGGTATTTAGCTCTCTAGTTTTTTGAAATGCAAGAAAGACCAGAAAGGCAGCTGTCATAGTCACATAGGGCTCACTTCTTATGTAGCCTACCCAGCTAGTAATTCTGCTGATGGATCACTAACATTTATCTGAATATCTCTTTTTTACGTGTACTTTACAGTGGTTTGGCAGTAGGTGTTGCTCTTCGCATGCTTTAGTTACTCCTGGCACTGGTGACCATTCTGTGGTAAGGGGACATTATTCAAGCTCGACTTGAGCAAGTTAGACACTATTATTTGTTTAAAGATACGTTATCTGGCATCCGTCAAAGAACTTCTCTGCATGTAACTCATCGCAGATTTTTTTTTAAATGGGAGAACATAATTCATTCCCTTGCATTTGGGTCAAAGTGTGAGGGCAGCTGGATTATGTCATTAAGCACGTGGAGTCAGTGGAAGTAATTGCATACTGGAAAGCAGAATCTTACTTCTCAGTAATGCTAAGATAGGAGAAGGCTAGGGAAACTGTCAGATAAGATATCAAATCCCTTTCAATTACTTGCTGCTGTTAGAACAGGTGGTATAACACGCTACTGCAGTCTGAATTTGAAAGCTGCCAATTTCCCTGCCATATCCCAGAAGAATTAAACTGCAGTAGATCTAACTCAGACACCAGATATTTCCTTAGGCTCCTTTAGACTTAGTGACCCATCTCATAACTTTCTTATGCGCTCTGTGAATGCAGAGGATCCCTTGAAGGTCACTCACCTACTGTAAGAAGTGGCACTTTCTCTAGGGGCTGCTTGTCATGTAGGGATGAGAATTTCAAGCATACAAAAGTATTGGATAGCCAGCAGCCCCTGATTATAAGGGAAGTCTCTCTCACTTGGCCATCTCTGAAAGCCCAGGTATTTTCAAGGTATCTTTGTGATCCTGGCTCTTGTTTTGTTTGGCAGGATTAGTGCTAACAATTAAACTGAAGATGTAAAACGGTGACTGGTCGACAAAAGCACCTTGCTGAGAGACAAAACACTTCAGTCAAGTAACTTGAAATGTCTGTTTAATGGGACACCAGGGGTTTTCCAAGCTTTCCGCATATCTTCTCAGATCTCTTCCTCTCCCTATTCAGTAGGAGTCCAGGGAAGAAAAACAGTTTTGAGCTCGAGGCCATAGCTGTTCTCACAAGTTTCTAGACACAAAGAGTGCTTTGTGGCACATATCAGCAGGAGGTCTTAAATTAAAGGAAGTGTTTTAACTTCAGAATCCCAGGTTCCCAAGAGTGGGAGAGTCTTTCACCCAGAAAGATGCATCAGCTGTGATACATAAGTATGAGCATGCTGTGATGTCCACAAAAAATCAGGGAGGATTTCTCTGAAGCTGGCAGTGGAAAGTTTGATATCATTCAGAGTTAGCTTCTAGAACAGTAACAGCAGTTACTTGATGGGGCACACATAAGCAGCTGCTTGGTTCCCAAAGTCTGTTTTAGGAAAGAGCTTCGCAGTCACGTTTTTCCACCGTTACGCATAAAGTGCACCTACCTGATACTGTTGAAAGATTTCGTGAGTGCTGGGGAAGCCCAGCAGGTAATAGTCAAGCCAATTGTTGAATTGCTTTGGTGTGTCCTCCATGTTGCAGCATGACTACAATGAAGGAATTCAGGTTGATCAGCTGACAGGTGTGAGATAAAGATCTTGCTGTGTTAGCACAACCTGGACTTGGATCTTCCTGATCATGTATCATGTGCAGTTACTTCACATGAAGCACAGAAACAATGGAGTGCTGCTAAGTCAGCTGGGGTTTTTGGTTGCGTCTTCTCTATGTGGTCATAAATGGATATGCAGGGACACTGATGACTTCCTCCGTCAGTTGGTTTTATTGCAGGTGCAGTCTCTATAAGCAGGTCTAATCTGCTAATGATGCCTCACTACAGACCAACGGAACTGCACCGAATTGATGTGGAAAAGCATTCTGAAAAGGGATGGTAGTCAATGGATAAGCTCCACTAAAAAAACCCAAACACTGGGATAGTCTACGGTGATATGCTGGTAGCTGGTAACTATTTTATATTTTGATCAGTACTTGAATTAATAATTTATAACATTTTAGTCTTGTGCTTTATTTAAGTCCTTACAGGAAGCACAGACTCTCATTTAAAGTGTTTTTGCATTGCAAATGACCGCCCTGCGAGACCTTCAGCCAAAGTGAGGGCATTGCTGAGTGGTTCAAATGTAATCAGTTTTTCAGATTTTTGATACATTTGAGATGGACCTGTTTTGCCCATGCCTGTTCATAGCAATTTATTTCTCTGAAGAGGTGCTTTATCTTCCCAAGGTAAAACAGATTCATCATCTGTACTTAGTAATCACTTTTTCCCTTGGCATGCTTCACACTAAGATAAAGCTAAGTTTCTAATAATAATGGTAGTTATTTTACTTGCCTTATTTGAACATTGGCAGAAGATTAACTTTCTCTCACCCGTCTGGAATTTCTGTGCTACGCAAACATTTATTAGCTGTTAGCAGCGGGAGGCAAGAGCACTCCTTAAAAAAAGAAAAAGCACAAAACCCACTTTTAATGCTAATGCTTTGAGTACTGTATGAATCATAGCTCTGTCCACATGGTGGCAATTTCATCGTCATTTGGAACTATGGAAAGACACAGAATAACTGAGTTACAGCACTTGTTGCGGGTACTACCGAATCCCGTCCCATCCTAGTGCAAGGCAACAGTGGTGTGTTATCCCTGCTGCAATGGCCCGATGGTCTGCTGTTCGGTGATGCTGATGTCCGATCTTGTCCCACCCACCATGACGTCGCGTCCCACAGGACCAGGAAAAATACCAGGACAAATTAGACACAGCTTTGCCCTAATTCCAGCATTTTATTTAGGGCTCTGGCCAGTACCATTTGTTTCCGAGCAAGGTGAAGAAGCAAGCAGAAGACTTCCTACTTTCCACTAAACTGAAACAGAGAAGGGGACTTAATAGCCTTTCCAGTGCTGTAGCGTTGTTTTATTCCTAAACGAGCTATTTTTGGTCTCTTCTGCCTTATGATCCTACTTCTGTACTGCTGACACATCCTATAACATCATTTGGACACCATCATATGCAGTACACCCATTAGTTCATTTAAGGTAAGAATCTGCCTTTACACATTACAGATAGCAATCTCAAGCAAAAGGGCACTTTACTGCAAATCTGGAAGTTTTGCTTCTTCACAGTGGTGATGTTTTCACTGGACATGAGACTGTTGGGTTAGTCATGATTTCCAGAAGTGCGTGCTCATGAATAACTAACTATGAGGTTAGTTGTGGGTTTGGAGAATGTAAGGTTGCAACGGTCCTCAGCTGAAAACCTGGATTAAAGCACTTGAAGGTTTCTGAGTTGAGTTAGGCATTTCATTATTTTTTGAAACAGTATCCTGGGACTTCTCTGCTGGCAAGTGGTAGTAGTTCAAGGAGAGACCTTCTAGAGGGATCTGCTAAGAAAGAGAGTGGTATTTTGCTGGTCTTGATCATTATCCCTTTAAACTTAAAATAAAAATAAAAATCTGATTAATGTAGATGGTAACTGACAGGCAGCCACAGACAGCAGTGTCCACGCATAAAGGAAAGTGGGTTCTGCCTCTGCTTCCAGCTCTGCTTATGCTCCTCAGCTTTTACCAAAAGGAGCACCGCAGGTTGAGTTTGTCTTCCCTCTTGGGCCCGTTTTTGAATACTGAATGAAATTACTCCCACGTGTTTGTTTATCTATAGATTTCCCGAAAAAGCAATTTGGACAATCAAGAAAAATGGACTGAAAACCTGCCACGGAGACAGGTTATAGGCTGGCTGCCCTCTCAAAAATCCCTTTTGGCACAGTTTTCTATTAAAATTTGGCTTGGATCTATCTCCAGGGAGATAAGAGGCAGCGGAGAGGTGGGAACGGCCTTTGCCCTCTGCCAAGCTGTCAGCAGGACAAAGGATGGCAGAGAAACTAGAGCAGGTGCTTTTTCACACTGGAATTTTATGCAAGTTGGAAATCCCACGAAACATTCCTGGTGTATAACACACATTATTTGGTTTGCTAGACCTCAGGCATTTCCTGCAGCATTGGCCTTTAATTTTGTTTCTTGTGTTTCTGAAATCCCTTAAAGAGTTGTTTTTCTGCTCCTCTGGTAAAATCAGCTTCCATGACAACTACTGGGGGCTTTCCATTACCTTCTCTACGCATGCTTAGGGTTTTTTGTATCCAAAACCACTTCACGAGGATATAGTCCAAGCTGGCAGTAGTGCTT